AACAAAGGGGATATTCACATAACAAAAATTGGTCAAGCATAAAGCAATCTTTGGACCTTTGATGTAGAATAGGAAGGAAAGGTGAGGATAGAACTTAGAAATAGAGGCAAGGGTGAGAAGAGAATAGCAGAATTAGGATTGGGAAAATTATCTCAATTCATCAAAAACTGATTGTAATGTCATAACAAGAATATTTATAGGGGACAAATCATAGGTCCGATTAAATAAAAAAATAATAATAAAGTTTCTAAAATTATTAAAAGCACTAAATAAGTACAACTACTAACTAATTCTTAAACTTTCCATGAAAATAACACTACTTAAAGGACTTGCACCCATTAGGCTGTGCGCCATCATTCTCCCTTGGTTGAAAAGAACTTAACTGTGGAAAGGGAGAAGCCGTATATTCTTCAAAGAGAGTAAGAGCAAGATCAAGAAGTTCTTGTTCATTCACCAAGAATTATCAGAGGGTGGACATCCCTTCCATTGCACCAAATAGCGTCAGAAATCTCCATGTTTAAAGCCAATAAATTGATCATCCAAAACCTTGATAGCCTCCTCATAGCCATGTGCAAGAGGAGGTTCTTTACCTCATAGCCATGTGCAAGAGGAGACTCTTTAGGAGCAACTATACCTACAATGTTACTAGAAGACAAAGCAAGCGACTCAAACATACCTTTATAAGGCAACAAATCTTTTACATTGAAAACTAGACTAGTAGAATAATGATTCGGTGAATCAGGTAAATATGCTTTAGATCCAAGTTTTGGCATAATGGGGTAAGGCCCAATGGCTCTAGCAAATAATTTTTTTTGAAGCATTCTTTAGGACATGCTTAGAGTGAACCCGAACCATTACAAAATCACCAACATTAAAATCTTTAGGTTTACGATGCACATCGATAGCTAATTTATAATCAACAGTATTCATAGTAATTTTTCTTCTAATCTTAGCATGCAAGTCATGGAGGTGTTGAGCAAAATATTCAACAAGTTTAGTAACACAAAAATTAGGTGGAAGAGGAACAAGGTCAATAAGAGTATGAGATTTGTAGCCATACACAATTTCAAATGGACCCTTGCCAATTGTATGGTGAATCAAATTGTTATATGCAAACTCAATAGTAGGCAAAACTAAGTCCCAATTACCTTGCTTCTGTCCAACACAATAACGTAAAAAATTCCTAAGACTAAAGTTAACCACCTTGGTTTGGCTATTAGTTTGAGGGTGAAAGGCACTAGAGAAGCTAAGGGTAGTACCACACAATTTTCATAATGTCTTCCAAGAGTAACTAACAAACTTGACATCTCTATTTGATACAATTGACTGAGGCAAACCATGTAACTTGCCAACCTTCCGAAACAACAATCTAGTGACATGAGATGCATCAGTAGTTTTGTTACATGGAAGAAAATGTGCCATTTTAGATAACATATCAACAACCACCAAAATGGAATCATGACCTCTAGCGATTCTTGGTAACCCCAAGACAAAATCCATGCTTATCTCTTTCTAATGTGCATGAGGCATAAGAAGGGGGTATATAAATTGGTATTTTGCTTTTTTGCCTCTGACACTTGACATGTACGACATTAGGTGACAATTCTAGTCACATCCCCTTTAAACTAGGCCAATTAAACCTATCCTCAACCAAGGCAATAGTTTTATTTCTTTGTAAATGGCCAGCCAACCACTTGCATGTAGTTCCCTAACTAGAAAATCTCTAAGTGAGGTCCATGGAGTACAAAGTCTAGTAGCTTTAAACAAGTATCCATCATGCACTAAAAAGTCCACATGATCTTTACGAGTTCCACTCACAACCTCACTATAAATCAGCCCAAAATCAAGACATTAAATGTACTCATCCTTTAACATATCAAAACACCGACACTAGCATGCAATGCATGGACAGTATAGACTCACCTACCAAGACCATCAACAACCTTATTTTCAGCATCAGATGTATGTTTTAAAACAAATGTGTACTCATTTAAGAACGCCACCCACCTAGCATGTCTACCATTTATGTGTTTTTGAGCATGTAGATATTTGAATGCTCGGTGATTAGAATAAAGCACAAACTCAAAAGGCAACAAATAATACCGCCAATAACAAAGAGATTGAATAACAACATAAAATTGTTTATCATAGGTGGAATATTTTTTCTTAACTTGAGATAATTTCTCACTAAAGAATGCAATGGGATGACCTTCTTAACTCAATACCCCACATATGCCTACCCCAAAAGCATCACAAGCAACCTCAAAGGTTTATGAAAATTAGGATGCCTAAGCATTGGACTTTCGGTCAATTTTTGCTTAAGTGCTACAAATGCTCTAGAAGTAGCAAGGGTTCCAATTAAACTCACTTTTCTTAAGATAGTCAGTGATTGAGGCCTTAATGGTACTAAATCCTTTAATAACACCTATAAAAATTAGTTAAACCATGAAAACTACGAGTTTAAAAAATTGTAGTAGGTTCAAGGTAGTATCTAATAGTTTTTACCTTGTCAGGATCCACTACTATATCTTGTGTTGATACTATAAAACCTAAGAAAAGAACATTGGATTGGAGGAAAGTGCATTTCTTAAGGTTAATGTAAAGCTTTGCAAGCCTAAGTGCCAAAAATAATTGTCATAAATGGTGTAAGTGCTCCTCCTTAGACTTGCTAAAAATTAACATGTCACCAAAATAGACCACTAAGAACTATCTTAAAAAAGGTTGTAGTACATGGGTCATAGTTTGCATGAAAGTAGTACGAGCATTAAAGAGACCAAATAGCATGACAAGTCACTCAAACAAACTATCTTAAGTTTTAAAGGTGGTTTTCCACTCATCCCTAGGTCTAATACGACTTTGGTGGTAGCCATTACATAGGTCTATTTTGGAAAACCAACTAGAACTAGCTAATGTATCTAACATATCCTCAAGACATGAAATAGGGAACCTATATTTAATAGTAATTTTGTTAATGGCACAATTATCAACACACATCCTCTAGGACCCATCTTTTTTTGGTGTTAACAAGGCAAGCACAACACAAAGCTAAGACCATGCCTAACAAACCCTTTTGTAAGCAACTCCTTAACCTGCCTATTCAACTGCTCTCGTTTCTTATGGTTCATCCTATAATGTTGTAGGTTTGGTAACTTAAATCTTGGAACAAGATCAATGGCATGTTGGATGTCTCTCAAAGGTGGTAATTGGTTAGGAAGTTGATCTGGGACCACATCACTAAATTCATGCAAAAAGGATTCAACCTCTATAGGTTAAGACAACTTAGGCTTAGTGGGTATACTAGAGCTATCCTTAATCACCAAAACAAACAAGCATAGACTCTCTAAATTTTCCCTTTCAAAAACTATATGATTGAAAATGTGAATCGATTACTTAGGTGGATCTTGTGATGAGGATTTAGATAATGGTTTAATGACATGGTTGGATCCAACATCCACAGAAGGTTTGGCAAGGGTAAGGATGATCTTTCTACCCTTATATAAGAACTCAAAAGTGTTACCTTTACCATAATTAGTTACATCCTAGTCATACAACTAGAGATGTCCTAAAAGAATATGAGCAACATCCATGGGTAACACATCACAATAAATGGAGTCTTTATTATCACCTATCCATATAGGAACTAAACATCTCTCACTAACTAGTAAAGTGGTCTTATCAACCCATGCAACCCTAAAAGGAGTAGAATGTGGTTCAAGCTTAAGACCCCACCAATGTATAACAACTCTTAACACAACATTCATAGTACTATCTCCATCTATGACTAGTCGACAAGATCTCTCATTGCACCTAATATAAATCTAAAAGATGCTAGTCCTCTTCCATTCCTCTCCAACCTAGACAGTCAACAAAACACACCTAACTACATTAAGATGTGGGTTTTCTATAAACTCATCCTCATCTCCAAAATACTCAACTGGATCTATTATCTAGTCATCTAAAGAGGGCTCTCCCTCAAGTTATGACGTGTCATGCCCTACATCTAAAGTCAAAGTACGATGTGGGCAATAAGAAGCAATGTGACCCCAACCCTTACAATGGAAGCACTAAATCGATGAACTACTAGATGTACTAGGAGCACTAGAATTACTAGGCTTTGATGAATTGTTATTAATTCCAACCAAAGGAGCGCATTTCATTGAGGAGATAGACCTACTAATAACTAGAGCACTAGCCATCATGCCTGACCTACATTCAGTAAATGTTCTAGGAGTTTTTTCAACAAGCAATGCTTTTTGAAATGTCTCCTTTAATGCTCCAAGTGAAGATAACTCTACATCTTTCCTAATATCCTCCCTAAGCCCATGGACAAATCTTCTAACAGTATAAAATGACTCCTCATTTAGATTCACTCAAATGAAAAGGTTCTCAAATCATTCTATATAATCCTGAATAGTAAAAGTTTGCAAAAGATTTAAGTACTGGTCATATATACAACTCCTATGAAAATGGGAAAGGTATTTCTTCTTAAATTTAGCCTTCATCACTACCTACTGAGTTATAGGTGGCTCTCCTAAGATCTCTAATTGTTGACTGACTCCTTTCCAATAGCTCTTAACGGCTACCACTAATTTCAACCTAGCAAAACGTATTATTTTTGCATCATCTATCCTGTAAAAGGTACAATAATCCTCAAATTATGCTAACCAATCTAAGAGATCATTTGCATCTAATTTATTCTCAAAATTCTTCATATATACCTTAACCATCCTACGAATATCATTACTATACTTTTGATAAGGTACCCTTCTACTAGTGTTTTGTGATCTATCAAAGGTGGACACCTCTAGACCTGATTGCTCTACCCTTTCATCATCATAATAGTTCCTAGACTCATTTGGAAAGGTGGACTCATTAATGTAAGTTTATTTAAGAGTTGGCCTAAGTGGTTTGGACTAAAGACCTTTGGGAGGAGACAACAAACCTTGGAATTTACTACTTATGTGTTGAAACCTGAGTTATGGCTTGGTTTCCTATTCCCCAGTGAATTGTTGCTTGCCAAATTTCTTTTCTAATTCACTCACAATTATATGTATCCCACCCAAAATTTGTTCTAAATGGACAATTTTATGCTCTAGTTGAGTTACATACTTCTTAAGTTTAGTCACCTCACCCTTTAAAGAGTCCATTTCAATTTGTACTTTTAGGCTTACACTGTCTTTTGGTGAATTGGACATGATGGGCGATAAAGGAAATTGGTATAAAATCTAAAAGTAAGATATAAACTTTTTTTTTTTTCATTGCAATAGGGATGCTAAGATTAGCTAAAATGCCAAGAAATAATACCAATTCTAAATTAACCGGATAAACACAATAAAACTACTGTATCTAATGCTAGTAAAATGCAAGGTTAGACTTTTTTTTTTCTTTTTTTGGTTGTTTTCTTTAAGAGCAAATAAAGAAAAACTTGAACCAAGCAAATTTACTGACCACCAATCAAAACCAATTCAATCCACTTTTCAACAAGAATATAAGTGCCCAATAAGATAGATTTGACCCACTAACCTATCCAAAAGAGGCTTGTCGAGAAGGAAGTTTGAACAGCAGATTGGATCTAGGCTACACCGTATTGAAAGCAAACACTACTCACGAATTATCCATTTAGGACAGAAGAACCCAGCACATGATGTGTCTTCACTAAGGGATGGCTTTTTCTTCTTTTTTTTTTCAAGGAAATCAAAGTTGTGATATGTGGGATTTTTGGTAGCTCTGATACCAAATTGATGTAGAACGTGAAGCAAAGGTGAGGAGAGAACTTAGAAACAGAGGCAAGGGTGAGAAGAGAATAGAAAAATTAGGGTTGGGAAAATTATCTCAATTCATCAAAATCTAATTATAATGTTGTAATAATAATATTTATAGAGGACCCCTAGGTCCAAATTAAATATAAAAATAATAGTAAAGTTTCTAAAATTATTATAAGTACTAAATAAGCCCAACTATTAACTAATTCTTAAACTTTCTACGAAAATAACACTACTTAAAGGACTTGCACCCTTTAAGCTGTGTGCCATCAACCTTATTATTATAATTATAAGTAAACTCAAAAAGGTATTCTATAGCTATAAGATCTAATGGTTTGCAAAAGGTAATCCAGCTGTTAATAGCTAGCTGTGTGAATGTGTCTTGATCTCTTTGTACAGTATCAAGGAATTGCTAGGAAAACAAGCAACAAGAATGATTATATGTGAGTGAGACATTGTCCGAATGTTAACTAATTGATGGTGCTCCCAAATTGCAAGGACAAGATTGAAGCCATCGATGAACTTGTAAAAATCTTTAAAAATATATCTATATATGAAAGGAAAGTAAGGAATGGAACAAACCTCAAATTTTGTATACCCCACCGAAAACAATGAAAAAACTTCTGGAGGAAATTTGTCACCTTCACAATGCCAGACTCTAGAGCATAAAGATATATTCCAAAATCAAATTGCTCCGGATTGGATGAATTTATAGGGCATAAATCATTGAGAAATGTGTGATTTCCAAGAGTAACATCACATATAAAAGCAACACTAACACATCCAGGCTGATTTCCACAAGCTTCACGCCAACGTTTAGTTTCTCGTTCTATGGCCAAGAAGTACCAGAGAGCTCCAATCACCTTAAAATACCAGCAAGTTACTTGATTACAATAAAACATAAAAAATGAGTAAGCAATGAGTATAATTTTCAGGGTAATTTGAGAGGGTTTATTAAAAAAAAAAAACCAAAGGTTGTTGGTGGGGGTTAATTAACTTACATGACTAGCAAGCATGTAAAGAAAGAGATTGAGTAAAACTTTGATCCATGCAGATTCAGCAAGTGCGCCAAAAACATTTTTATCTCTCGTATACAACGGATAGAGCCGTAGAATCCTTGGTACGAATTGGGAGATAACAAAAAATTTCAACAAGTCCATGGCAACCAAAACTCTCGAGCCTTTTATTGCTGGAGTAATTAAAATTAACACCTACATAGATCATAGTAAGTTCAAAGGAATATTATATGAAAATCAAGTTATCTTAGGAGACTAGGTTAGATTTTCTCTTACAGTACTTCCTTTGTTCAACTTTAGTAAACTTAGTTTTTTTTAATAAAATAAAGATATAATAATCAATTAATAAAATTTTATATTTATCATTAATTAATTTCTAATTAAATAAGCTATTTTATTTAATATATTTATAATTATCTATTAAAAATAAAGGTGAAATAAAAATAATCACATTAGCATTTCTAAAAGAAAAAAGTAAGTGAATATTCGAACATTACAAATTAGAAATTAAGCTTACTAAATTTAAACGGAGAGAGTCCTATTTTCAATTTTGAGCACCATCTCGATCAGTCATTAATTAGTTATTGGCAAATTTAATTTATTGTTGTCTAATGTCTTGATAGAAATAGCAAAGCTTAATGAACCAAAAAAAAAAAAAAATCAATTGTCAAATATGAAGTAAATCTCCTATAAAATGTCACTAACCTGTGGAAGTGGAAGAATTGAAACTATGTCAATTAACAAGAAGCAAGACCGCAAATATTTTCTTGCGTTTTTCCAGGTATCCTCATCCACATTAAGAATTCCACAAGCAACATACATTATATGGATGAAATCGATGGAACAACGCAGAAAAACTGCTGCAATTCCCAATTTTCTGTCCAGGAGAAGGCATTTTTTATCTTCATTCACTGTAATTATATAGAAGAACAAAGGATCCAACCATAATCCAATCGCGCTTGATAGTAGAAATACTGCTTTCCACACTTTAGAATATGAACCCGGTGGATTAAGAATGTTAAAGGCAGATCCTCTTCTCAAGACTGAGGTTTCTTCCTCTTCATGATTCACAACGCTGAAATAAAACAAAGGTTAGGAGGTCTAGAGTTAAATATAAGGTTGACTCACATAAAACTCTTACAAATATAATTTACATATATTACTTAGTACTTACATAAAATTATTAATAATTATATTTTTATTTAAAAAATTATAATAAATTTCAATTAAAAAAATATATTATGAAAATTTTATATAACTAATGTGCATAATAGAGTAAGGGGTGGATCCCACACGCTAACCTATTGATTTAAACCCAAATTACTTCTTGTGAGTTGTTAATTCGAACTTTATGGATCTCCTTTTCTTAATCCCTATTTACTTTAATTTGTACTCATTTCCTTCCTTTAAAAAAAAATAAAAGTTGTATTGACAAATATTTTGTTTCATTCAAAAGATAATCTCGATTACGCTATGACAAATATTTTGTTTCATTCTATGTCATGTTAGAGAGTGATAGGAACATGCTATATAATTAAACTTGCTTCTTCTTTTTTTCTTTTCTGTATCAAGAAATAATTTAACAGAAAAAGAAAAACAGGGGAAGAACATGCACTGGAAAGTTTGCATGAAATGTGAACACGGACAGACAGCCTAGGCCTTACCCGTTAACAGAGGTCGAAGATCTTGTTCCTCTTTCATCTTCTCCAATCTCCATTGAAAAGTCAGGGAGCCGAAAATTTCAGCTTAGAGCTCAAGTGAACACCAAAAGGATGTGCGGTTGTGTTGTGTTATAAGTGAACTTTTAGTCTAATCTATGAGGTCAATGGCGTGGGTCAATGTTATTGATTGTCCAGAGGAGGAAAAACAACGGTGGTAGGTATTAGTAGGTCCGTTTAATAAAGTTACTCTTTATTATTTTTTTTTTTTTTGAGAAATATAATTTTATTGATATATATGAATATTGTAAAAGTTACAAACTAATTTGAATGGAATAATATAGGTGAACATATAATACTAAGTAATTTAATACTTATATGAATATCAAAATTAAACCTAATTGTAGCACTTTAGTATAATCCATATAAACAGATGATAAATTAATTAAGATAAAAAATTTAGCTACAGACATTTTCCCCAATGATACCTTGAATAGCCTAAGTGAAAAACGAACCAAAATTGCGTTCAAGTTGGCATCCTCCTCCTACAAAGAGCACATTCTGGTAAAAAGGCAGAGACCTTAAGATAAAAGGGAGAAACTTCCACGAGAGATGAAAAATCTCATAAGAAAAAAGAGAATTCTAACATTTAACCATCCACTTTCATTTGGATAAATAATTAAATTAAAAAAAAAAAAGTAAAGTCTAAAGAGTTTTTCCCCTTCTCTTCCCCTCTAATTTTTTAATAACCAATTAAAAAAATTTTTTTCTCTCTTTTTTCTTTTTTTTTTTTTCATTCCTTTCAATCCAAATATATTGTAAAAGTTGTTAATAGGTATACTAATTGAGTATCAATTGTTGAATGCAAGTTATATTTGAGTGAAAGCAAAATTTAAAAATGTACTTCCTTCGTTAATTTTTAATAGTTTTATTTTAATTTTTAAATTATTGAAACATCTTTACTAAATCTTTATGTTCATTTATTAACAATAATTTAGTAATTTGAATATATAAACTATATTTTTAATATGCAATTCAAACTAAAAAAATAAAACGAAAATGAAAAATTAGAACATTCTGACATTAAAAGTATCAAAATGTATAATCATAGTTATTAAATATGTGAAATACAGTATGAGTTCTAATGTTATCAAATTGATCAAGGCATTAATTTTCTCTTTTCTATATGTAAAAATACTTGGTAAAAATACCAAATTAGCTAACAAAAATGTTATTTTATTAGGATACTGTGATATTTTATGTATTTATTAATTTAATACATAGAAAGCAAGCTATAAGAGAGAGAGTTTTTTTTTCTTTTTTTCTTTTTTTTTTTT